TTTCCTGGGACTCACTTGGTAGCCCAGGCTGGCCTCGAACTCACAGAGATCCGCCTGGCTCTGCCTCCCGAGTGCTGGGATTAAAGGCATGCGCCACCACTGCCCAGCTGTGATGTATTTCTTAAAGTCAAAAACAGAAGCCAATAAGAGAGCTCTTCATGTAACCCTGGTAAGATGACAGCTTGAGCTATTCGGGCCACTGGAGTGCAATCCACTTGATGGTCAGAAGTTTTCCTTGTGCTGATCCCCTTCCCCATCTCAGGACCTGAGAGGCTGGACCCTGGCAGGGTAGGGAAACTGAGGCTGCAAGGTTGAGTTGTGAACTGAAGGGCAAAGGCCAGGGTTTGTGGCCAGCGTCTCAGTGGTGACCTTTGTGTCCCCTTGATCCGTGGAAGGGCCATGGGTCTATGGAGCATCTGTACTGGAGGACGACCTGCCACCTGCAGGAAACCACGGCAGGCCAGGCAGGGGAGGCCCACACTGTGCCTCCCCACATGGCCCTGGCCAACAAGCAGGCTCCTGTCCTGCCACCAGGGGCATCCTGACAGGGACACCTGCCACCCAAGTTACAGCAAGCTTTCTGTGAATGGGAATGGGAAGGACCATCTTTTCTAGAGAGACCCTGAGGAGACAGAAGTGTTTCGGTATGCAGTAGGCACTCAATGGTGGTCCTGCAGTGGCTGGTGGGGGAAGACAGACACACAGATTGCTGCAAGCCATAAGAATATGTTATAGAGATTCAGCTGGGGCTGGAGAGATGGCTCAGCCGTTCAAGGCTAGGCTCACAACCGAAAATATAAGAGATTCAGCTGTATATAATAGAGCTAGACCTAGAAAGGTCAAGGAATCTTTCTAGAGGGAATCCATTTATCAGGGAATATTTGGTGTTATTCAGCTTTTAATATGTCAGCTGTCTTCTGCTATGAATTTCTTATGCAATCATATACTACTAGGTCATATGGCAAACAGTTGAGCTTCTCAGACCTACTGCTGATCTACGAGGTAACACCCCTACAGGCCTAGGAGACAGGTGGACTGAAGATGCATAGCTTTGTTTCTTGTGCAAATGAAGCTCAGACCACCCCTTGCCTTCAGGCCTAGTGGTATTGCAGAGCTGTTCACTCAAGACAATAGGGCTTTTTGCAGAACCAGGTGCAGTAAAGACTGGAGCAGAACTCCTGGTTGGAGCAGAGTGGCATGGCCGGAGAGAAGAGAACAAGGCAGAGTTTCTGTGGATGAGAAGGCAAACTGGCTCGGGCAGAGGAGTAAGGAGCAAGGAAAAGTTCTGCAGACTGTAGGTGGGTTTGAATCAGCTCAGGAGAGGAGAAGAGGAAGGAAAGATGGAGGATGAAGGAACAGAGGACGAAGATGAGATCGAGAGCATAAGAGCTTACTAGGGCTTGAGAGGACAGAAACAGAAGGGACAGAGAGGAACTGAGAGTCAGAACGGAACTGACGCTATGTAGATAGAAGTTTGTTATAGAGAAATAAAGTAAACGGACGTAAGAAACTGGTGTGCATAGATTCTTTTTTTTTAAAGAAGAATATTTATTTGTTTGTTTGTTTGTTTGTTTGTTTGTTTATTATGTATACAGTGGTCTGTCTGCATGTGTCCCTGCAGACCCAAAGAGGGCACCAGATCTCATTACAGGTGGTTGTGAGCCATCATGTGGTTGCTGGGAATTGAACTCAGGACCTCTGGAAGAACAGTCGCTGCTGCTAACCTCTGAGCCATCTCTCCAGCCCTACATAGATTCTTCTCCCTCAGATAACCCCACGCCGGATGTAGCGTCTTCCCAGGACTCTGAGAAGGATTTTCTCAAGGCAGGCCCCTGGGAAAAATCCAATAACAGATTACCATGAAACATGGCCTGGAGCTTGCATCGTGTTTTGAGGAAAGTCAATGGGCACTATTTAGGACATACGCAGCACAGAGCAAGAGAGGCCCAGAGGAGTGCTATACACCTGCTACCCCAGCTCTCAAGAGGACAGGAGTTCAAGGTCAGCCTCAGCTATACGGTGAGTTCAAGTCTAGCTGGGGCTACATGAGACCCTGCCTTAGATGTATGCCTCAGCCCCCTCCCACACCTCCAAAACCAAAACCAAACCCCAAAGGAAACTCCAGGAGAGAGGCCCTTCTGTTGGGGTTTGGAAGGGATTTCCTGTCTGTCTGACCAAGGGAGGCAGATTGTAACAGGCCCAGTTGCAGGTACCAGTCTGACAGTTTCTGGAGGGGATTGTACACTTTTCCAGATTTCCAGCCTGATTACAGTGCAAATCTGGCTTGATGGGTCATTTCCAAATATTTGTTACCTTGTGGAGTCAAGGTAGGGGCGCTGGGTCTTCCTGAAGGCCTGATGGGGTACCTGAGGCAGCAAACCAACTCCCCTCTGCCTGGAATCCCCCTTTACGGCTGCCCAGCGTCCGAAGAGTGAGTAGTGGCTGTGAACCTGCTCCACATCCCGAGAGGACTTAGGTGTCTTGCAAGGCGGGACGGTGGCCCTTGAGACCCGCCAGAGCCGATTTATTGGGACAACCATGATGCAGCCTTGCAGACAGCCTCTGACCCTGCCAGAGACACAGTGTGGTGAGGGGGTTCCCCTGCAGGCTTCACAGCGGGCGGGCGGGGAAAACCAATCCGGATGAGGTAAGAATGAAACTCAGCTCAGCCCGACTTTATCGTAACTGGTGCTGGACCAGGACTTCTGGAACTGGCCCAGATCATTTTACTTTAGCACAGCACAAATTTGGGGGGAAAAAAAAGTGTTCAGATAATAATTAACTCAGCCCCATGAATACAACAAAGCTA